TGGCAGTTTATATCAGGTAACAATGCTGTACTATAGTACATGCAACAAATGATCTGGAAGTAACCCTCCCCTGGCCCATGGAAAATTTTGGTTATCTTCTAGGTTCTAAAATGAAGATATACAGATACTCTGGCAGACTGCATGTTGTATAATTTGAAAAATACTAAAAGTGGAAAATAAAATTGAATTAAACTTTGGCTGGTCTGTGTTTCCTTATTTGAGTCATCCTAAAGGCACTCTCTCATTTAAGGTGTCAACGCTTGTGTTAAGATGAGCCATTTTCCAGCCTCCAAGAGTTCAAGCAAGCAGCTATACTCGAGTAAGCAGCATACGCAGTCAACCTTGACCTTGACTTTTCTTTTTTACTTTGCTTGAATATCTGCTTTTAATTTTTTTTCATCGAAGAACTAAGACAATTTGACATTTGTTCCTTCAGCTCTGAAGAGATAGTGACTGATGAAAAAAGAATCATATTAACTTTCTTAAAAGCTGGATTGAATTAAAGCTCAGTAGGCTAGTGTATTAGCTGAATTTTTGAACTTCTTCTTGCCTGACAAAGGCACTTATTCCAAAAGCATGTTTTAGAGCATCGTCATCCTTCCTCTGATGAGTTGGAGCCTTATATATGTTGAAAGATTATTGGCATCTTTTAAGAAGGTTTAGGATGTTTGTATTCCTGTTTAAACTACTGATTCTTAGCATAAATGTACAGGTCTGAGACCTTGTGAGAAGACATCAGAGTGTGGAGTCTTTGGAGAATAACCAACAGCAGGACACAGGAGTGTCTTTTTATCTGCTCTCTTAACTGGGAGGCTTCCCTGCCTCAGGTCTCTGGAATCATGTAACCATGCACGGCATTTTGTATGTAAAACATCCTTGTTCTTGTTTTTGGTTTGGTTAATGTTGCATGAGAGCTAAAGAGTAAACATCTTTGCCTTAATCAATTAAGATGGAAAGGATGGATGCCAAATGGTGGTTTATAAATGTAATTGAGGGCATTGCAAAGGGTGTGCTTTTATGATGTCTTATCCATCTTTCTTGAAATTGTTATTCTGCAAAGAACTCGGAAGAGGCAGTTTCCAGATATTAGACTGTTAAAGGTGACTTATGTAGTAAACTTCAAATGTGGTAGATGAATATTCAGGTAGTAGCCTGTTTGTTTAAGATGGGAAAGCAGTTCTCTGAAAGAACCAGATCACGAAGCAAATTTCAGTATCAGTGGAAAATGACCCCCACAGATCCCAGAACACAGTGGCTTTGCAGTGCAGCAGGACTGTGTTGACACCCAGGGTTCCTCGGTCCCTGCAAGTCTTTCTCAGAGGTTTCCTGTCCTGCCAAGCTCTCAACTGTGCTCGGGCTTTGCCTTGGAAGCACAGAGCTGGATCATCTGTGGGAGAAAGTGGAACTAAAGCAATAATCTGCAAAGGCAATTACCGGTGACGTGTGTATTGGCAGGTTTAATTCTAGGATTTGTGACAGGTCATGTCTTGTGTACATAATACATTGAACAGAAGTAGGAAGCATCTCTTGGGTGACACATCAGATGAAAATGTGGGCTCACTTGAAAAAAGGCAGCCTGAGCCATGGGATTTTTTACTTTCCCTTTGGTGTTTGGTGGTTCTTCATCCAATTTGCTAAAAACCAAATGAACAAACAAAAAACAATACAAATCTCTGTGGTTAGTTGCGCTCAAAATAATTTTAAAGACTTGTAGGTTACCTCTGGTGGAGTCTTTCCATGTATGAAGCCCTGAATAGCAAAGGCTGGAATTCTCCATCTGCTTTGCTTCCCCAGTGCAAAAGGGGTCTCAGGAGACTCTCTCTCCCCATTTAGCAC